TAACAAAGGTAGACAGTCCTACTCTACCAGCATCCCCTCCACTAACATACTCAATTACACTTCTCAGAAGCTGAACCAGAAACTGTTCTCTTAGAAACAATACAATGAAATCAGTTTCTTCACAAATATAAATGAAGTCATCGCAACATTTAGAATGACAAATGTAGCCGTCGTATTTGTGTTGAGGTGTCTGTCAAGTTTAGGTTTCAGCAGATGCTTGCTCCTCGTGAACTGCGGACCTGACACTCGATGTGTGAAGAGACATAGTGGTGACACAGTATGTGTTAAGGGTACGACTCCTTGTTTGACCAAGCCACAGGAATCTTTGTTGTACGGAAGAACTCTTGAGATGGATCTCGTTTGTATCAGGATTGGTTGTACCTGAAAGTGTTTTCACAAGATCTGACTGTATATCATTTAGTAATATTCAGGTGAAAATATACGATAATCCCAGATACCATATTGTTTGTTATCTCCTAGATGAATCTCTTTTCTAATGACAGTGGCAAATCTGTTGGGCTTGGTAAATACAACATCATTTTTTTGTTTCATCTCAAACGTGGCAAGGCAGAAAAAGTAGGATCTCTCAATTCCTTTGGGGCGGAGTAATTGGCCATCTTGTGGAAAGGCAGATGTATTTCCCTTGTGCGATGCAGCCAGACCGACTTCATGACAATCTGCACACATATTATTGATTATCCCCTTGCAAAGCAAGACACATGATGAAAACAAGGCACTCCAATTTTTTCTTGTGCGCCATACTCCCAATGTCATTGTAGATATTGTTGATGGCTCTCTGGTGCTGTACAGTGCTATTTGTCAACCAATGGGAACTGTCCTATGCAATTGTCACTCTAAACGTTTATGTATATATCAGAGCATAAAGATTCAGCTCAGCAAGGATATCACGTTTTGATTCGTAGACATTGTATCCCGGCAATACTGGTTTACTTGCTTCACATTATGCAGATGAGGTACCTGAAGAAACAGGGAGAAACATAGCACTGGGACGGCCAACAATTCAGTCCTCCTTCTTGGACCATCGCGGGAAGGCTAAGGGGGCCGTGGATGGTAACCACACGCTTCAATACAGACGGGGCAGTTGTACTCATTCAGCCTTCTATTCTCCGAGCTGGTGGATCGTTGATCTCAACCACGTATACACAATAAATGTTATTGTGATATACAACAGAGGACGGGTTCAAGGTAAGCGCCAATCCGAACAATCGATAATTAGTAATGAAACCAAATGAAAGCAAAGTTATAAACCAGAATTAGTCCCTGTCACAAAGTAACCCAATCACCGCTATCAATGTTGCTTATGTTGGACGGATTCGTGACCACGCACCATTATTCGTTATCATCTCACATTTTCGTTTTCAGAAAGACTTGACAACACAACTGTGGAGGGGTTCCTTCACTACCCAGCCATGTGTGACAACACAGACGCCAGTTCGTTTGTCTTCCATGCAGGTCCGTCGGGAAATGTGGTCAATGTGTCCTTTGCTCAAAGAACGAAAGCTCAGTTCATCCGAATTTCAAGACAAGGGCTCCTTACCCTTTGTGAAGTGGAAGTCTATGGTGCTGTTACAAACGATCAAGGTTCGTTGCTTCAGTAACGAAATTTAGGTTCTTGGGTTTGAGTACAAGACGACACCATTCATGACCTAATCAGTTACAAATGAACGGAAAACAATATCATGTAAAACAGTGCTAAATTCACCGGGCGGGGTCACTCACTCACCTTCCATGCAGGTCCGTCAGGATATGTGGTCAATGTGTCCTTTGCGCAGAGCACAAGAGCTCAATTCATCCGAATTTCAAGACAAGGCTTCTTACCATTTGTGAAGTGGAAATCTATGGTGCGGTTACAAATGAGCAAGGTTTATTGTTCCTGTAACGAAATTTAGGTTCTTGGGTATGAGTACAAGGCGACACCGATCAGTTACAAATGAACGGTATAACAATATCATGTAAAACAGTGCTAACTCACTCACTCACTCACTCAACCCACTCACGCAACCAACCCACTCACTCACATACATGTTTTGGGCTTTATCCTATAAAGTCATGCTTGTTAGCATATTTTCATTCGGTCTTTGTTTGAAACAGGTCAAATTTCTTTACTCCAATATTTGGAACGAAAGCTAGCTTTTGGTTCTCATAGTGATCATTACAAAAACACGTTACCTTGATCAATCCATTGCCACGTCATACCATGATATTTTCGGGGCAACATTTGATGTTGAAAGGCAGAGTAACCAAGCGATGATATGTATGAATGTCATTGCCACTTTCCATGACAAGTTTTACAGGTCTTAAATTTAATTTAATTTCCAATGCTATTCACAAGCAATAATAGAAGTGTTAAAATTGACTTGAAAGTCCCTCTCAGTCTAACATTCAAACAGAATAATATTGCAAATATTTCAATATTACCACAACAGCTGTCGCATGCAATATAGGAGGCTTCTAGCATTTATGTCGTGAGTAATTTGTTTCAGGTCGCATTGATTCTACCACTGAAGTGACAACTGGCAGGAAACTGACAGCTAAAGCTAATGCCCTTGGCCTTTGGAAGAGTCACGAACCATGTCTTAGCGCATGTAAACAGCTCTCCAATTGTTATTTCATCAACCACAACGCAAACACCGGAGAATGCCAGACTGCCGCGGGTCTAGTGAAGATGAAATACTTCAAACCCTCTTCCGACTGGAATCTGTACTCTCTGTGTTGATTGCACACAATGCTATTTACTGGTCAACCTCTAGGAAAGGGTACGGAGTGGATGATAGTTAAAATCAGACGAGCTGTTTTGTAGCTATATCTGAAAAATCATATAAGTAAAACAATGAACATAAATATAATTAAGAAAGCTTCAAATGTATTTTTTCTGTGGCTGACCATTTCTTTGTTTTCAACAGTTAGTTGAGCCCCATCTCACTGACTCACTCACACTGACTCCCCTTACCCACCTACCTACCCACTCACTCACTCACGTTCCTTTAAATTTAATTTAAATTTCCTTTAAAACACAAACTTCTGGTAATAAAATGTGATACACTTGCATTGTTATTTCTCTTGAGAATCATTCTGACCGGGATCTGGATGAACAACAACAAACACTGGAAGGAGAAAGAGTATTTTTTTATGTTTATACAAAAGCCATATCTCATGCTATATATATATAGTGTCAAATACATTTTTGATATGATTGAAATATTCCCAATGTGACTAACAATTTTGACCCCTCCTTTTCATTTTATCAAATTGCATTGAAGACGAGCAAGGGATGTGTCATGTGTCATGATATATATAAATATTGTCAAATACCTTTTTCGATATGGATGAAATATTACGAAGCTCCTGAAAGGACATTTGCGTACCCCCCTAATCTTATGATAACCACTTATAATCTCGTTATAACAACTTTAAAATCCCGTAATTCTGTCCTTACATTTTACACATTACAATAGCTAGTTCACAGTACCACACACGAACCAAAAGGTCCCATCACAAGCTTCGTAAAATATTTCCAGTGTGAAGAACAATTTTGACCCCCTCCTATTCATTTTATTAAATTGCATTGAAGGCGAGTAAGGTTGGTTTGTTGTTTAACGCTGCACTCAGCAATATGCCAGCGGTTTGTAAATAATCGAGTCTGGACCAGACAATCCAGTGATTAACATCATGAGCATCGATCTACGCAATTGGGATGCGATGACACGAATGAACTAAGTCAGCGAGCCTGACCACCCGATCACGTTAGTCGTCTCTTACAACAAGCATGGGTTGCTGAAGACCAATTCTAACCCGGATCTTCACGGGGTAAAGACGAGTAAGACTGACAGTATGAGTGTCACTGGTTGTTATTTACAGTTGAGTGGAAAAATGATATGACGGTATAGGCCCAAATAGATAATGTCAGTGCTTCATGGTGCTATTGCTGAAAACTTTAATTAAATAGGATATGTGTTTTTTCAACTATGACAATTAATGCCCTTTTGTAATAAAAGCTTCACAATAATAATTTATTGAACATCACCCAAAACACTTTTCAGCCCAGCCACCCGAATATCTCTAGACATTAATGCGCCTGTCTGTTTGTCATGGCATCGATGGTGTCCGACGAAATAGCACACGTACAATGTATGGGTCTTCTTTGCAAAAACACATTTTGGTAAAACTGTTCCATTACAAACAATTATAATACAGTATAAGCGTCGATAATGTTTTTACTGCATCCAGCTCCGTGCAATTTGACGAATTTCTAAGTAAAATTGCTGAAAGACATAATTAAAATCGGACATAAGCTCTACCCGATGACATTCACTGCAACGATAGGCTCCTTCGTTAGCTCCGAGAGAATTAACATAATCATAGAAAATACACACCTGCTTGCTACCTGCATGTTACTTGACGTGTGTGCGCACGTTTGTTCAGGAAGGGCATTAACGGTGTCCGATGAAAAAAGTCCTTTGGAAAATGCAAACTTGCAAATAGACTGTCTTCTTATTCTGTGATGTGTAAAGAGTATTAGGTTGGGCAACACATTGTCCATTGTGTTCTGTAGATTTAAGAACTCTAAAAAGGTCATGGTAATTGAGCTGACGTTGTATTCACTGTTTTGTGCATCACGGATCCTCTTGTGTTTATAACTTTAGACGCCAGAGCATAGTTGGAAATGTGTATTTATTATTGAAGTTTGATCATTGCAGAATGCACCTTGTCACTTTAACCACAGACGCGATGACGTCACGCCAGAAGCGCCATCCGCATCTCTACTTTGAGGATGACAAAACTCCCATAGACTTAACATTGGGCTCACTGGGCCAAAGCCTTAGTTTCACCACTACTACCACTGGTCTTGATGTTCATGTAACATACATTCGGTATCCGATATTCTGATATGATCATAAATGTCAAAGAAAATTTGGTTTTAGTTGTGAGTTCTTGCTGAAAACGTTTAACAGCATATGTTGCAAGAGACATTGCATGACATTTCTTCTAATTAGTAGACAGCAAATGTTTTATCTGTTGACAGCAAATATGAAAACAACGGAAAAGAATCTATACTTGTGAAACGCAAGATAACCTTCCTTATGATATATCATATTTGTTTGACATACGCCTGTTGATTGTCTCATAAAGTTGAAGTGAGAACGATGTTCATGCTGGTGGTCACTGGATTGTCTGGTCCAGACTCGTTTATTTACAGACCGCCGCCATATAGCTGAAATAATGCACAGTGCGGCGTAAAATTCACTCACTCACTCACTCACTCATAAAGTAGAAAATGTATATGGGCACAAAATGTCTTTACTTTGCTCGTAATGCTTGTTTTATGCCAACAAAGACAAAAACATTCGCTCAAACTGCTTATCAAACTTTTTCATTAAACCCAAGACATGAGGAGAAATATTACATTCCATGAAATATGTGTTGGTCGGGGTGTCAGCACTGTAGGTAGCTCTTGTCTGTTGATAATGGATTTTCCAGCAAAAAAATAAGACAAGAAAAAGAAATGATACTCGTGAAATGCGAGAAAACTTATGATAGATATCATTTGTTGGACAAACTTTTATCGATTGCCCAATGTAAGTAGACCATGTGTACAGGAGCACTTTTTAAATGCATGTCTTATGCTGTATTTCACATTTTATTAAGTTCAAGGAGTTTAAGAAAATTATTTTATTTGTTTGGAGAGGGGATAGGGGACTATTGTATACATGTGTTTGTTGGTTTTGCTTTTCATTAACGTAAATATTTCTCACACCATAGCATGTTTTGTGAAAGTGATGACCAATCAACGTTCAAAACAATTATTTTCAGACAGAAACATGACAGAGGTGAAACTTATTTACATTTGGTATTGTATCACGGTTTGTTCTATATAAAACTGCTTGCTTTTACTAGCTCTTTGCCATTATCATTAAGGAGCAGTTAACTACTGACCTCCCTTGCTGAGTGCCCACCGCTGTCATCTAATAACTGTTGTTGTTTCAAATCTACTTATATAGGGATCTGCTTCGCTGCTTTCTTCACTTGGTGAAGGAGCAAGGATGTCGTGTCCCTCCATACTACAGACATCTGTGGCTGACATCAATGAATTTTCATCCTTTATGTGTATCACTTCTAACTGCCACTCAAAGACGATGAGCATGCATTTATTCATTTCATTCAAAGTTGATATTCATTATCAACTACACAATTTACACGCCTTCTAATCCACTGTAAAAACATGCCCATTTCTGGTCCTATTTTGAAAGAGAAAGCTATTCAGTTTGCTTCAGAATTAAATGTCAACGAGTTTAATGCATCATATGGTTGGGCGGCACATTGGAATACACGATACGACATCAAACAGTTCAAAGTGAGCGTCGAATATGATGACTCTCAACACGTTGTTCAGTCGTATTTTACGGCATACGGAAAATCATTCTCAGGTTGAAAAGGGAAAAGTTCTCTAAACCGACACGCCCTCTATACGGGCATTTTTGTCGGTCCCAACGAATGCCGGTTAAGAGGGCTTCCACTGTAAATGAAACTATCTAAAACTTTCAGTAGCAGTCATGTAACCTTTTTCTGAATGCATTGATGTTTAACGATGATACTTTTTATGGATATACAACTTCTCTATTGTGAAAAGCGACGTTCCTCATAGATTCTTATGTCATCAGCCTTTGCTGTCCATTGGGATGCCTACTTTTGCTTTTTACAAAATGTTATCAATGAGAATGTCCAGCATTTCACATATTGTTTTCTCGGTTAACTTCAAATGGCATTAACTTTCAGTTTTGACAAATTGTCCTGAGTTGAGTTGAGTTGGTCTTTACGTCCTGAACCTCTGAAGATAGACATATATGTATGTATATCTTCATTTCTGGCAAAGACATTATATCGGCGCCTGAATCATCGGGAGCTTAAAAGGGTTCTTTTTTTTCTTTATATCGGCATATATGCCACTATTTGATTTTGATTTAAACATATTAATTCAAGAGAATGGATTGGGTACAAATTATGCCAACTTAGTGAAACCCTCTCCTATACCCTTTCCTAGGTTATGCCAACTTAGTGAAACCCTCTCCTATACCCTTTCCTAGGTTATGCCAACTTAGTGAAACCCTCTCCTATGCCCTTTCTAAGTTATGCCAACTTAGTGAAACCCTCTCCTATACCCTTTCCTAAGTTATGCCAACTTAGTGAAACCTCTCCTATACCCTCCTCTCCCCTTTCTAAGTTACGCCAACTTAGTGAAACCCTCTCCTATACCCTTTCTAAGTTATGCCAACTTAGTAAAACCCTCTCTATACCCTCTCCTAAGTTATGCAAACTTAGTGAAACCCTCTCCTATACCCTCTCCTAAGTTATGCCAACTTAGTGAAACCCTCTCCTATAAACCTAAGTTATGCCAACTTAGTTAACACTCTTACCCTTTCCTAAGTTATGCCAACTTAGTGAAATCCTCTCCTATACCCTCTCCTAAGTTATGCCAACTTAGTGAAACCCTCTCCTATACCCTCTCCTAAGTTATGCCAACTTAGTGAAACCCTCCTGCCACTATAAAGTAGGAGCTTCAGCAAAATCTCTTCACTCAAATTGTGACTAGGAAGCCTTTTGGCGGACATTTCAAAATCTGGCGCACTTTAATATCATATTATAAAGATACGGGAATTTGAATGTTAGAGATTATTAATCTGGTATCAGTATTTTCTGACATAGAAGCATTCTTCAGTGCGACACAGAATTTATGACAATGCCATCCTTCTTACTTTATCACTAGCAATTGTTTGTCAAAATGAACATTGTTCACACTTGAGAATGCAATAGAACATGACATGCAACATTACTTATGTCGAAAGGTATTCAAATACATCTTACATGTATTATACATCACTGCCAAGATTTGAGGTACACTTAGAATTATTACTTATGGGTTTTCCAAGCTATATTTGATGCATTCATTTTAAGATCGTAACACTTCTCGCTGAATCCACACAAGAAACGCTTTGATACACTTGGAGAGTTTTATACACGTTGACAGTGTTTGTGTGTTTAGAACATTGGAATTTTCAGAAGATGGAACTGCTGTTCCTTACATACATGTTCCTTCAACATGGACAAGCAGCTGAACAGGAACTGGTGTTTGGAATCGGAATCAAGCTTTGCAACCTTAAATGCATTGAAAAGGTTTTGCATGAGTTTTGCATACAACATTGAAAGACTAGAGTGCCGTCTGTCTTACAAGGATGATACAAAACTGGCAAAGGAGGGGTATGTTATTTATCCAAAGAAAGGAAAAGAAGTAAGTTCTTTCTTCGTGATGTGAGAACATAAATGATTGTCAGAGTATCTGAAGACCTTGAGGTAAATATCTGGAAGTACATGATTGCTGCAGAGATTTCTAAAGATTGTCTTTAATTATCCGATTATAAATACTGATATTGTACAAAATTGCATGTTCGGTTGTTTTGCGCTTCAATGAATGTTCATTCTCAGTTTTAAAACTTTCTCAAGTCTGCTCTCAATACTGTGACTCCAACATATTCAGAAACTTTTTAGTTAATTGTTCGAATAAACTTAGAGCATATTGTCTGTTGTCGTCCGTCCGTCCATGCATCCTATTCGGTTGTCTGTTAACGTTTATTTTTATGAACGTTTAACATGAACTCAGTAGCTGAATGTGTGAATCCTCCCTACCTCCCACCATCGCTCACTCACTCAAGCAACCAATCCAACACCCACCCACTCACTCACTCACTTACTCACTCCGGCAATATTTCACTCATACCGTGACTAAAACAAGTCATACTTGTTACATACATGGAACGGTAGGATGTTACCAGTAATTCCGAAGCGGCTAGGTACCCAACAGGAGTCGGTGTCGCACTGACCAGTAGCTAGATTATTTTAAAGGTCACATGCAACAAAAAAACCAAAACATAATCAAAACACAATTATCACTTATTCATGACATATAATATGTATGATAAACAAGAGGATGACGGTATTGATTATCTAGAAAAACAAACTATCAGTGGTTGCAGCAGATTTTGATTTGGGAAAACATGACGTTCTATTGAGATTTTAACGCCCGAATCGGGCTACTTTATGATTTTATCTTTGAGGATGAGGATGATATCCGATTTCTTAATCCCGGTTCTCTGTACCATGTTGATTCATTCTGTCAGCCAAGGAGTTCGATGGATGAAAAAAGTTAATAGGTTCGGAAAATCTTTAGTATCACTGTCTAAAGCTTGGGGTCTTCACATTGTTAATGGAAGAAAGCCAGCGGATAGTGATGGTTCTTTTACTTTTATTGGGAATAATGGTACTAGTCTAGTAGACTATTTCCTTGCATCAGCTAGTCTGTTTCCGTTAATAACGGATATGAGAGTACATTCTTCTACAGTGTCTGATCATTTACCTATATCATGCAGTTTGAACTACGAATCTACGTCTACATATACTACAGCTTCAACTAATATTCCATCTTTTGATGTGCCTAATTTCGGATGGAAAGAGTATGGGAACATCTCTTTGGTGCTAATTTTGAAAACAGCAGAGCTAAAGAGCTGGTATCAGAGTTTACATCTTTTCTTGAAGAAATTGATGTTAATGGTGTGGTTGAAAAATTCTGTCAGCTGTTCTACTTTGATGGGGAGCACTTTAAATCCAACAGTGGGGTTGCTATGAAATCTATGAAAAATCAACCGATTTCGGTTTAATAAAGAGTGTTCTTCTTTAAAACGTAAAAGTATAGCACTTTAGAAAAGCTACTTATCAACAGAAACAGAGTCAATATCAATCAATACTTGGAGGCCAAACGTATGTTCCGGCGCATCTGTAACAGAAAAAGGAAACATTCATTGCGGAAGCTTTAAATAATTTGTCAGTAGCTGTAAATAATAAAGACTCCAGAAACATTAGGGAAACAATTGAAATGTCTCATTGCTAGTAAACTTGATGAAAATGATACAACACCAAGTGAATGGTTTGCATACTTTAAAGATCTTTTAAATCCTTCTGATAGTAAAACTGAATTTGATCACGATGTTCCACATTTTCTTGAAGCTCATGATAGTTTTCCATGTGAAAAATGTTTGAACATTGATATGTTATCAGATACCATCAGCCATGAGGACATTATTAAAGCGCTCTCTGATATTAAATCGGGCAAGTCACCAGGAATAGATGGCTTCTTCCACCAGCATTCATGAAGAATGCACCTTCCCTTGCTGATCATTTCTATGCATTGTTTAATGTCATTTTAGATTCAGGAGTATTTCCCTCTGCTTGGAATGTTGGTTTTCTGGTACCTATCTATAAACAAGGAAATATGTCTGATCCCAACAACTATCGGGGAATATCCATGTTAAGTGTCATTGGTAAAATTTTCACTTATGTTCTTGATAAAAGAGTCTGCGCTGCTGGGCCGAGTTTAATGCTTCACTTAATGAAGGGCAAGGAGGCTTTAGAAATGATTATTCTACCATAGATAATATGTTCTCACTCCATTCTTTAGTTCATAAGTACCTGTGTAAAGCAAGGCATCGTTTTTATGTATCTTTCATCGATTTCCGCAAAGCCTTCTGATCTTATTGATAGGAAAAAAAATGTTATATCTTCTACTTGAAAAGGGTGTAATCATTGAGAATATGTACTCAAATGTATGTGCCTCCGTTCGTTCTGGTAAATCTAGAACAGATTTCTTTTCAACCAATAATGGTGTTCGCCAGGGCTGCATTCTCAGTCCGCTCCTTTACATTCTAGTCATCAATAAACTTGCAGACCATCTCCATCATGGCAATACTCGGAATACATGGAATTTATGTAAATGAATACATAGAAGCTATTAAGATATTACTGTTCGCGGATGACGTTACACTACTAGGAGATAGCATTGTTGATTTACAAAGAAAATTAGACATTCTTGAAGATTTTGTAACACGTGGGGCTTCAAGTAAATCTGGATCTAAGGTGGTTGTTTTTCGAAACGGAGGACGCGTTAAGAGAAGTGAAAATGTATTTTTAAAGGTCTACCTGTAGAGGCTACCCCTTATTATAAATATTTAAGCATTGTATTTTCATCACGTTTAGTTTGGTCCAAAGCATGTGAAACGCTATCTTTACAAGCCAAACGTGCATGTTTCCCTCTGTTTCAACTGTTAACCAAGTATCAAAGTATGTCTTTAACTATTGCTCATAATATATTTGTCAGTAAGATACTACCAATTTTAACCTATGGAAGTGAAAATTGGGGCTATACTTATAGAACGTGTATTGAAAAGGTTCATAGTGAGTAGGCACCCGTGAAGAGCCACCTCCTCTTGGTGGGTGCTGGGTAACACTAAGCGCTCTTCGACCCCGGTTGTGGACCTGGGGTATATTTGGTCCACCAACCTGTTTGCCGTGGGTTGCGCCCCTGTGTCGGTGGAGGACGGGATTCTGGTGGTTGAGGGCACTGGTTCCAGGAACAGCGTTCCTTTGCTCAACACACTGCTTTGGCCCTTACTTCATCCAGACGGGTGGTTGAATGGGCCCAGTTCAACCAATCGGCTGGTCATGTCGAGCCCTGTGCATTCTTTGTATTTGCACAAATTCTATTTTGAACTGTATTTATTGACTTTAGGTCTCGGCTCTTTTTGTCTATGCATTACTTGATTTTGACATATGACCTACTGTAAATCAATAAAATAATGCGAGCTACTTATTAATACGAAAAATGTGACTATATCTGAAGCACATTAATAAATCTCGCATTATTATATTGTCTTTGCACTCGATATCGTTATTACTAGTATTTGGGTCACGATAACCCAGTGAACAAAGACAAACGATTGATTCACAAAAATTCCTTTATTGACACAATAACATCGACATTATATTATATCAACAAGTAAAAAATACATTCTGGGGAAGAAAGATTGAGCACTAATCATTTAAGTTGTATTACAGTCTTTGAATAAACAGTCTAGTTTACAAGGTTTGAACTCACTGGACCACGTCCAGCAGACCTGCCAACTGGCATCCATGTAAGATTACCTCACGATTTCTGCCTACCTTTGCAATTGCTCTCTGCATCCAGCGAGCATGACGCTTTGTCAACACGTCATTTTGCATTGAGATTACAAACTGAGATCATCCTGTCTACTGTCAATTACTAATACTAACAGTTGAAAGGAAAGCCGTCTTTGATCCAAACACCCATGTGTTCGGGGAATTCAGATGTTTACACTAGAGTCGGATTAAATACTAGTATAGTATTTCCCAAAGTATTTCATTTGCCTAGAGTCTTATGCCAATCTGGTGGAAGAAGTAATCTTTAGTTTTTCTCTGCTTGAGTATATCATCCGAGTATCCTAGGTGCTGCAAGTTGGAGACCCACTTGTTTTTAGCATTGTCCTTGTGATGCTCCGTGGTGGGTGGGGAGCTCGGATGATGAAACTTATACACTAACTATGGAATACAACCAACCAAACCCCCTAAAACGAAAAACAAGCGTCAACTTGACAACGATGATGATGACGAACGTCCTTCCAACTCAATCGACTATTGGCCACGATTTCTGGTTATCGAGACTGTAGACAAGGCTCCACTGAAGCTGAACCCTTTTGCAATTTCCAAGGGTGTACATGGCATTGCAGGTGAGGTTAAAAACATTAAACGCTTGCGTTCAGGCTCTCTGCTGGTTGAATGCAGTAGAAAACAGCAAGCAATTAACCTGATGTCAACAGAATTATTTGTTGGAATTAACACTAGTAAAGGCATAATCAGAGACAGAGATCGACTGTTGGCTGATATGTCAGAACTAGATATTGTTTCTGAGATGAAGGATCAGGGTGTGACATATGTTAAAAGATTCACAACCCGCAGAAACAACGAATCAATCCAAACAAATACTTATCTGTTCTCATTCTCATCTCCAAATCCTCCGAAGTCTGTCAAAGCAGGTTACTGCAATATTTCAGTTGACATCTACATTCCAAATCCTTTGAGATGTTTTAGATGTCAAAAATATGGGCACGGAGTTAATACTTGTACAAAGCCCATAACATGTGCCCACTGTAGTGAGACTACTCATGTCACAGAAGACTGTACCAGTGACCTTAAAATGTGTACAAATTGTTCAGGAAATCATTCTTTCTCCAAAGACTGTCCGAGAAACAAATGGCAATCAATAAAATTAAATTCACCCAGAACATCAGCTTTGCTGATGCCAAAAAATCCTGTGGAATCTGCAGCACCAACTGAATCATATGCATCAGTCGTCAGAACACATTCTGAAAACATGTCAAAAGTAACCACCTCGTCGATACATTGCCAAACAGATTTGACGTGGGTTAAAACTACTAATGCTCAGTTTGTTGCACCTGAACAGTCTACTCAGACCTCGACATCTTCTATCAACACTCACTCACTCACTAAAGGTCCATCAGAGCCCTGTAGTCAGATTTCATCTGTATCCGGAGAACAATTTGTCTCAGTCAACTCAAAAGTCTCAAGCAAAAACAAGCTCGAAGAATAATGTTCAAAGTAAAACCGACTCAGAACAGAATCTTCGAAAAGAGTGGCAGACCCCGGAAGGGTTCAGATAATCCAGTCAAATTGTACAATGAATATTGATCGCTTGAGGACATGGAAGTGTCAGAAAACTTCCATCCCAGGGAACATAGCTTGTCGCCCTCGAAAAATGTGAGGGGTAGATCCCCTATTAACCCACCGAAAAGATAGTTTTTTTCTAAAAACATCGTGCAGTGGAACTGTACAGGACTACGAACTAATTTCCATGAAATACAGCTATTAGTCCAGGATATAACACCATCAGTATTTTGTCTGCAGGAAACATACCTGAAACAGACAGACAATTTTACCTTACGTCAGTTTAAAGCCTATCATTGTTTTTCTCTTCCGGGTGATCGAGCCACTGGAGGTTCTTCTATCCTTGTGCGACAACATATTATTCACAGCCCTGTTACACTCAAAACTAATCTTCAAACTGTAGAAATACGGCTTACTCTGGGTGTTGCTTTTACTTTATGTTCTCTATATATCCCGCCTTCGTCAGCACTTCAGCAGGCTGATCTTCAGTCTCTATGATCAACTACCGAAGCCCTGTGTTATCATGGGCGACTTCAATGGCCACAAACCACTCTGGGGAGGTTCACACACAAACGCCAAAGGTAAAATACTTGAAGATTTTATCTCTAATAGTGACCTGTGTATATTTAATGACGACTCAAGCACATGTTTGCATCCAGCGACCGGCACATACTCTCCTTTAGATGTGTCCATTTCAGATTCTTATCTATTCAATGAATTTGAATGGGAAGTTCACAATGACCATTGTGGAAGTGACCACTTCCCAACTATTCTTTCAGAAAAACCTCCATCTGATACTCCGTCGTATACAAGATGGAATTTTTCGAAGGCTAACTGGTGTAAATCAAACTATATGTAAATCGAAACTGCGACCTGAATGTTTCAGTAATGTAACTGATCCCATTCAAACTTTTGCTGACGTTTTAAAGCAAATAGCTGATGAGTGTATACCAAAGTCCTCTACGACTCCACATGTACGAAAACCATGTAGATAGGCCAGAAAAGCGAGGAAAACGGCAGAGCGTGATTTCTGCCATCATCCAACTGTTCATAACTTAAATAAATTTAAAATACTCAATGCAAAGGCGCGTCGTACCTTTAAAACAAAACAAACGACAATATTGGAGAAATTATGTCTCCAAAATTAATTCACGCACGCCAATGTCTAAGGTATGGAACATGGTTCAAAGAATTAAAGGCAAAGGTTCAAAATCTGCTGTTCACCATCTTAAAGATGGTGATAATTTAATTACTGACAAGTCTAAAATTGGAAATAAAATTGTCGAAAATCTTGCCAAAAATTCATCATCGGCAAATTATGTCCCTGAGTTTCAAAAATATCAGAAAAAACAGGAATGACTGGATCCCCTGATTCAGTCCTACATGTTGTTATAACTTAATCCCTGTTCATGTATATAAGTCTGTTCTGTGCTGTAGTACTTCACTCTTGCTTGACAACGCTGCTATAAGAATCCATACCGAAACGTCGCATCATATATAATAAAGAAGTTGTTATCCATAAACTTTCTTACTTGCTTCTACCCACATATCTTGTTCAATTGTAACCAAGTAAAGTGAGTAAAATAAAAATAAAAAAAAATAATAAAAACCCCAAAAACAATAGAAACAAACAACAAAAGCTGAAAACATCGCCAACCAATTTGCTTTAGTAAGCAGAACTGTAAATTACAGTCAACAATTTCAAAACAAATCTCTAAAAGCAGCAGCCTACAACGCACAAAACCCCAAACGCATATAACCTACAATAAACGTTTTACTGAAGTGGAACTTTACAGCGTAAATAACCACAAAAGGTCAAGACCATACAAGCTATATCGTGTTAAAAAACCATACAAAACCAACTTCTAAAACTTTATAATACAGCTGGGATAAACGGTCAAATACCAAAAACCTGGAAACATTCCCTTATCATACCCATACACAAACAAGGCCAAGATCGTAAACAAAGCCGAATCATATCGGCCAATATCTCTAACATCTAACATATGCAAAACCATGGAGGGTATGGTTAACAACCGCCTCACACAATATCTTGAAACACAAAATCTATATAATACAACTAAATCTGGCTTTCGCAAAAACTGCTCCACCATAGATCATCTAGCACAAATTCACAACTCAATCAGAACTGCACAAAATACCAAATAATACCCACTTGCAGTCGTTTTGGATTTCTCCAAGGCCTTTGATACGCTCTGGAGACCGGGTGTCATCCAAAAAATTACAAAAAAGTTTAAAAGAGGCACTTCTAAATTTTTGTATCAGCCTTCCTAACAGACAGAGACTTTAAGGTCTCCATAGACCATCAAATCTCCCAAAACTATACACTAGAAAATGGCACACCCCAGGGGAAGTTACATGTCACCCACCCTCTTCATGGTTGATGATATATTCGTTTGCCGATGATGGAGCAATATGGGTTGATGAAAATAATATACACAAAGCACAAAAATAAATTCAAGCTGCAACTAAACCATATTGAAAACTGGACCAATCAATGGGGGTTCCAACTCTCTACCACCAACACAACAACTGTAGTATTCAAAGCACAACGTCGAAGAAAACAGAACGTACATCTTTATATTAACAAGCAAAAATAACCGCAATCAGATACAGTAAAATTTCTAATCCTAGACCAGCACATAACGTGGAACAAACACACTCAATTCATACAAGAAAAAATGCAAGTCAGATCTCATCATTATTAAATACCTATCACATAATAAACGCCGAAGACCCGGGTTCGAATCCCCACATGGGCACAATGTGAAGCCCATTTCTGGTGTCCCCACCGTGATGTTGCTGGAATATTGCTAAAAGCGGCGTAAAACCAAACTCAGTCAGTCAGTCAGTAAATGGGGTAGCAACAAACAAACATTATTTCTATTATATAAATCACTCATCAAATCTAACCTACTCTATAGCTGCGAAATATTTCAAGATATGGCACAAACACATAAAAACAAACTTAGTTCCATCCAATTCCAAGCACTAACTATGTATAACTGGAGCCTTCCCAGGAACATCCCTTCAAGCATTATTGGAAGAATGCGGGGAACTGGACCTCACTCTCGAATGAGAAAGATGTACAATGAACTATGTAACTCGGTCCCTTAACAACCCC